GATACATAGAAGATGTTGATTTAACATGTGCTATACTGTTTAAGTTCCAGTGTGGTTGCTATCATTTCATAGCTTTTTTTAGCACAAAAAAGTAAATCCAGATTCTTACCCTGATTCTGAAAATGTTGAGCTAATTAATGTAGTTGGGTTTTATACAGATGACAGCCTTAATATGAACAACATTTATGATAAACCTACAGAAACAGTGCCTGGAGCAACTGGATCATTAAAAAAAGTATTTGTTAAGCATTATTCAGTCTTGGTTCTGAATTAATAAATAAGGGATTAAGGAGTAGTTATGTGAGACTTTAAGTATAGAGTGATAAAACAAACTCCTGCATTTCTATGGTGTATATTTTATCCTAACTAGATGCAATTTACTTAAATAAGGCAATTTAATCAGTATTTAGTAAATTTGTCATTTGATATTGTAGAATCTTTCATCATATTTCACTTTAATCAAGCAAGGTAACACCTGTGGTTTATTCACAAAAGCTCCTTTTGTTAAATGAACACCCGCAGGCCATGAAGCAATTACATTTGTTGCTTGTACCAAAGTGGGAGGCACTTAAATAGACCTTAGTAGGGATAGATGAGAACTTGCAGACTTTTATTCTTTTGTCCAGCACTGAGATTAGTTCTTATCATAGCTCAAGAAGGAAGCTTCTGAACTGAAAAGATGGGAATTATTTAAAGTTCTTCTTAAGTTGGAAACTTTGATATTGCTGGAGGTGATGTGAATACCTGTGACCTTACAAAAGTTCAAACATCTACTGCCAGCTGATTGTATGTGCTGATGGTTTTGTAAGACATTCATGTTTATAAGTGGCCTAAAATCACTAGCAAAAGCTCTCTCAAAACAAAAATCCTAAACCACAGAAGCATGATTTCAGTTTGTTGGGTTTGGGGGTATTTTTGAGGCAGATAATTTAGTCCTGTTAGCTTTATTTGCAATATATTAGTTTCCTACTATGTTAGTTAATGCAGCACAGAGTTCTTATCTCTTGGGTTTGAAGATAATTGAATAATCAAAGAAAAAAAGTTTGGCATCATGTGAAGAGACCAAAAGAATATAATTATTTGATGATTCCCCCTGTAAATAAATTAATGTTTTGTGCTGGTGAGTATGCATCAAACACCTGCCCTGTACTTCAGCTCTGCCACTTTAACTGCACCACTGAGTAAACTCCAACAGCTCTGCAAGTGTTGCCAGTTTGTCTCGGTGAAAGATGTTTATTTGGGGTGAAAGAGAATGAACTGCTGCCTCCAGCTCAGTTGTTGCCAGGGATGGTCTTGTTCTGGTCTAGAGCCTGGGGAGGGAGCAGGGGGGTGTCTGATGGTGCCTTTCAGTGCCACACTTTGAAGCAGCACTGCAGATAACCGGTTCTGCCTGAGAACAAGGGAGGTAAATCCTGGGATAATCTGCACAGACCAGGGGCACAGGGGCTGCTGAGGCACAGGGAGCTGCCTGCAGACAGTCAGAGACAGCGTTTCCCAGCAGCCTGCCCTGCTCAGGAGTTGCTGCTTCTGCAGTCCCACTCGTTCTGTGAAAATTCAGCTGCTGGCTGTGTGACACTTTGCCATCTTTAGTTCTGGCCTGTGTGTAGGCAGCTCAGAATGCTGCCCAGCCCAGGGCAGTGCTTTTACCCCTCACCATGGGGGGTTTGCACTCACTGTCCCTCTGTGATTTCTGTGCCAATTCTTGGCTGCAGTTAGCTTTCTCTAAGAGGTCCACTGCCTGTAGATTCCAAAATGCAGCCCCTTGATCTGTGACACATGTGGCTTTCCCTCTGTGCAATTAATACATTCTTACTAAAAACACAGGTTTTTAACAGCCAGTTTTTTTTCCTTTGGTGAATATTATTCCCAGCTAGTGTGCTTGCAGAGCTTTGCAGCGTTTCAGATTGGGTCCTGGCCTCTGATATTCCAAGTGAACTATTCCCTGTGAGCAATCCCACTGAGATCAGTGATGGGGTGTAGACATGGCTTGGTGCATAGAGGAGGATTCTGGCACTGGTCTTTATTTCAAAGGGTTTTATACTACTCTTGGGTTTTGTTTTTTTTTTTTTTTTTAATTAATGATTATTGCCTGTCACTGGTATTTGGTTTTACATTTTCCTCTAATTCTTGTGATTTTTCATGTGAAAGGCCTAGATGATGGACAGACACTGCAAAGGTGCATTATCCCTAGATGAATCACACATTGTGACAGTACTCTTAATGCCAAATTCAGAGGTTAGGGCCCCGTCATACCTTCCAGGGAGAACTGCAAAAATTACCTTAAGTGGTGAATTTCAGGATGTAGGAAGACACTTTACTGCAAATGTTATACCTGCAAAATGTGAACATATTGACTGGACAAATAATTATTCCTAGTACTGGAAGTAGTTTTATACCATTACAGGCAAAAGCAATTTATTTTCTTTTTTTGTAATTTTAGAGCTTGGTGGAAATATGGGAAGTGTTCTAGAAAGCTTTTGGATATACTTGAGTCATGAGTGGTTCTTTATTTTACACAGTAAAAGATGAGCATCACATTCTGCCTGTGAACTGGGAGCAGTGAGAAAGCACAGGATCCAGACCAGCACAGGGGGAGCTGGCAGGGAAACAGGAGCACACTGCAAGAAGTGTTGGTTTTGCAGCAACATGAAATGTTAGCATGGCTTTGCTTTCTATATCTTAGTAATTCCAGCTTGTCCTGTTTGTGTGTTTGGTGTCACAGTGGCAGCAGTTTGGTGGCTGACTGGTTATTCCAGTATGTGTTGGACAGGGCAGTTTGCACCAGGAGCGTCAGGTGCTGTCTTGTGCTGTTATTTGCACATGGGAAACAATCTCATGTGTGAATGTGGACACAGAGAGTGCTTTGGGTGAATCCACTGAACTAAGTGACCACAAACATCCAGCTACCCTGCTGGACATCCTAAACATGGAATCTTTGAGGAAAACAGCAGTGACAGCACATGCTCAAACACAGACCTATCAAAAATACAAGATGCATGTTCTACACAGGTTGTTTGACTCCAGATAGAAGCTTTTGAAAATGTATAAATTGACTTCTGGTTGGGTTTTTTTTGTTTGCAAAGCTGCTTGGGTAGGAGGAGGGCCAAAGTCATGTAGCTGGAACCAGCTGGCCTTCCCAGAGGAAACCCTTTGGTGCATGTGCGAGGAATCCGATCAGCCCAGCAAGCAACAAAGGTGGCAGACAAGCTGAACAGGGAATTCCTGTCTGGAAGGACTGGGAGAACAAGCTTGGCTCAAGTAGTGGAACAAGTAAAACCAAAGGAGGTGGCATTCCTTTATACCTGGGGCAGGAGATGGTGCCAGTGGGTTTCAGAAGGGCTTAGACATTGCTGGGCACCTTCTGAAATGCTGAGGGCAGGCTTTGTGCCCTCTGAGAGACCTCCAGCACCTTTGCTGGTGCCACAGCAACACAGGGCTGCTTGGAGGGATGGCCAGGCTCACAGATGCTCTCTGCAGTGGGTTTCCTGCTGCCCAAGTGACCTGTTGTGTCTCAGTGCACAGCTGGCACATTTGCCACGCTCAGCAGAGGGGCTGTGGCAGCAGTGTGCCAGCCTGGGATGCTGCTCTGGTGACAGGCACAGGGCAGCATGGCCAAATAAGAGCAAGCCCAGGTTCCCAGGGAGTGTTAGCTGGCCAGAAACCTGCAGGTATCACCTGCAGTTTGCTCCACTGGGACATCTGCATTTGTTCTTACTGGTTTACAACCTGCCTTTACTCTGGAGTCTTTCACTTTGTTTAATCTGTTACCCATCAACTCTCTCTTATGTAGGCTATTGTGTTTACAGTGCATGGCTCAAGTCTAAAACATTCATGCTACTTGTACTTTGAGTTTCACTTGAAACTGTTTGTTTGTTTATTTAGTTTGTTTCCATATGTTTTTCCTCTGAATTGTGGTTGTAGTAATGTTTCAAGTAGATACTTCATAGTAATGTTTCAAGTGGATACTTGGTTTTGGAAAAATAAATGTTTAAAGTCCATATTAAATATTCTCTAGATTGAGAATATGTTGCTTCATTTAAATTTTCAGCCTGGTTTAAAATTTTAGAAACAAGACCCAATAAGAAACATAATTATTAAATATTTTATTTGGTAACTTGAAAGAGGTTATTTGTATCTGAAACATTTTTAAGAAAACATTACAAAATAGTATTGTATGTCCCAAGTGGATATCTTAGTTTAAGACTTGCAGGAGCAACTTTTTCAGGTAAGAAAGCTTCATTCTCTCATTTAGGTAACTATTACAGCTATGTTGCTATTTCTCATTTTGTCATTGAGTCAGCCAGTGAATGCCATGAATCTGTGGTATGTAATATAGTTAATGCATAATATATATGGGCAATGAAAGGTCTTTGTCATATAGTATAAGGTCACCATCATTAATTTTCAAATTATAAAAAGGGATTTGCTGTTTTGTGATCATCATTATTGCAATATAATGTGTTGTGGATTCTGCCTGCACATAGAATGAACTGTGATCTTAATTAGAACTTTGACAAGCCTACTCCGATAAAATGATGAGATTATTCGTAATTGATGTCACAATCAATTACCAGTTAGTTCATCATGAATCTACTAACAGGTCTAGCCTTGGTGCTGGCCCCAGGATGTTGATGAGTGTGTGGCTGCCCTGTTCATGCTGTTACTGCGACAGGAGGGCAGATTTTCAGTCAACATCCTAATGACCTCTTTTGAAGTCTATTAAATTAATGACCCTGTCACATTGGTCTAACCTCTTGCATCTTCATTTTGGGTTTTTTGTTGCAAACCATTGGTTTTTGAGCACATGATAGAACAGATACTTTGGAGCACTCCTTCTCATCCCTCTAAATCTGGCAGTGGGTCTCATAGACTCAATAAAATTTAGTTCATTACACAGTCGTGAAATACAGAGCACAGAAATCAGGAAAAACACTGTAAGGCAAACTGTGCTTAACACCATTCTGTTCTGGTTTCTTTTTACATTTCAATCTTGCTTATAGGTGCCTAAAGGACATGTCTGGTTAGAAGGTGATAATCTCAGGAATTCTACAGATTCCAGGTGCTACGGACCTGTTCCTTATGGGCTGATAAGAGGACGCATTTGTCTTAAGGTATGTGAATTTCTACTATCTAAAAACAGTTGCATTAATGCATTTTTAATGAGTGGCTGTTAGGTACTGAAACTTGCCTCCCCAGCTGCCTGGCCACAGCAAATGGAAAGGAAAGCATGAACACTCCACCACCTGCTGTAAAAGGATAAATCAACAGTGACGGGGTTTTTGGAGGGAGGACTTTGGAGCAGCACTGAGCAGTTTTCACTGCTGTGAAAATGGAATGAATTGTTTTGCAAGCAAATCCAAACATGATAAAACCACAAATGTACACACCTACGCCCTACTGCACAGATGTACATTTCATCCTTACTTTGATTCTCTCTGCAAAATGATTTTTCACTGTTGTAGCTCTGTGGTCCAGAAAACAAAATGGAGGAAAAGATTGTCTTTCCAGACTTGCACATGTAGCCTGGCCTTGCTGCTTTTTAAACTAAAAAAATGCTTTAAATGAATATTATACTGTATAAACCATCACAGTTTTTTCTCCTTTTGCTTCAACAATTCTACAACTTTATTTCACACTGAATTATTTTATGATATTATCTGTGTTACTAGTTTACTCTTTTATCAAAAAGAAGAAATATAGCATAATTTCCTCTCCATAAAAAGTTTAATCTAAGAAATAGGGGAGTGTGTATTACACAGTTATGCACCTGCTTTTAGAAAGCTGGATTTAAAGTTGTGCATTCAGAACAATAAAAAAGGTTTTCTCCATGTACTTCAACACATCCACAAACCCATAATTTAGCACACCTGTATTACACAGGGAAGATTAGATCTTTCCAATTAGCAAAGCCTTATATCCTTAATTTACAGTATTTATGAACACAATTTGGGACTTTTCCAAACAACCCCTTGGAGCTACTGAGCACAATCAGTAATTGCTTTCTAAACCTCAGACAACAGGGCCCCCTCAGCCCTACTGGCAAATTTGGCGTGACCTCTGTTCCTCCCATTTGCTCTGAGTTCTGCCCTGGTGTTTACTCAGGGCTCTGCCCCTTCTCCTGCTGTCTGTCCTGCCCTGGACACCAGAGGGGAAAGGCTGGTTCCCAACAGGGCTATTTTTATGGCCCAGGTTTTAGCTTGAATTATTGACTGCTAAGAGACAAAGGATGTTCATCTGCTGACACTCCTCTAATGAGAATGTGGCAGTAATAATGCAACTGGAAAAAGCATTTCTCCAAGCTGGTGCACAGGTACAGAAAAGCTGCTGCTGTTCACTGCTTTAATGGATATATCAAGAAGCTGTGTGTATGGAGAGCCAGAATCAGTCACAGGATCTCTCCACAGCAATAGATTTTGTGTCCAGCTTGTGCCCTGACAAGGAAGGTGTTTGAAAGACCTTAATGAAGTGACTGACAGGACTGAACCCTAAGTAAACTCTGTACAATGAGTGGAACTCACAGATAATTCATATTGAAGCACTACTTTAGGAGTCCTGAACATTGTCTGTTAAAAAAAAATAATTATGTAATCACTTGATACTTAATCAAAATAATTTAACCAGATTTCACAGGCAGTTGTTTAATGACAGTGGCATAGAGTAATGATTATTCAAGTTTTTGTGAGATTTAAGTAGATGGTGCCTAACAAAAGCAAAAATGAATTTGTTCTTCAAATGAGTGTTTCTAGTTGGGTTCTTCCTGATAGCCCACATGAGCACAGAGTGCTGTTGCTCCTGTGTGCTGCTGCTGCTCACTGCAGTCAGGGCAGCAGGTACAGCCTGCTCAGGGCTGGCTGGCCACTGGCCAGGAAACCTCTGAGTGCCTTCAGTGCAGCCTGCTGCAGCTTTGGCTTCTCCTCCATCCAACAGTTTTTACTGCCTTCAGAATGGAAGGTTTTGTGTCTTTGTCTTGCAGTGGATTTTGGAGCAGCAGATGTTAACAGTGCCTTTCAGTGCTAAGTTACTTTTTTTAGGAATAGACACAAAAAACCCCAGATATAATTTGGAAGTCAGGGATTTCCACAGAAGAGAGTGAACTTAGCCAGCCTAGCTGGCTGCATTTGTTTAGCCAACCTATTCTTGGCAAAACATGAATGCTTATCTGAAGTTTAGACCAAGGGTTGGTGCAGCAGTTTTTAACCCTTACAGAAATACCAACACTTGATTCTTGTCCTGCCACTCCAAACACAAGGTCATGCCATAAAGGGGCTGCTGAAATCAAAGCAGCTGCAAATTCAGGAAAAGCACTGGGAATCCCACTTAGAACTCATGTTTCATGCTGTCCTAGGTAGGATATCCTGTGCATTCCCTGGATTTAGGCTCCATGTCACAGCTAGACCTGTGGTGTATCTTCAAAAGAGCTAGTTAGCCCCATTTATGCCCCGTCCATCAGATCAAATCTATCTATGTAGGCCAAAGCAGAGAGGGCAAAGAGCTGCTAATTGGAAGAGCCAGTCTGAATGAGCAAGTCACAGTCAACTTCTGTCAGAACTTTAAAGGCAGAGTGGCATGTCTTTGTTTCACAGAGGAGAGCTTGCCATCTCTTTCCAAGCACCAGTATTGTTTCTCAGGTTCTCCCTGCATATGCAGACTAGATAAAACATCATTTTCATTCTAACTCTACCACTAAGATTACTGTGACAAATTTCAAACTACACTGTCAAAGCAACCTTTAAAGCTAATTTGATTACTTTCACTGAAAGAAAGTCAAGTTGCAGTAGGTGTGATTTGAGTTGCCTGAAATGAGATATGTGCTGGAGTGAACAGACTGAAAAACTACCTTCTCCAGGCCTTTACTGAGATCAGCTCACATTTGTTATATGGGATATTTTTCTTTCTTTTTACTTCTGCTCGCCTTCAGGGCCAAACAAAGACTTGACACCCAGCCTGCAGCCAGCACAGGCCCTCTGGACAGCTTTGAATTCTACAGCTTTGCTGCTAACCAAGATCACAAATACCCTTCTGTTGCTGGCTTGTATCTGTATTTTTGTGAGGAACTTAAAATAGCTCACTGATCAGCACAGAGACAAGACATCACCTCTGTGCTTCTGTGTCACAGCTGTTCCCCCTGCTCCTCCCTGACTGCACATGCCAGAGCCACAGGAATTGTCTGAGATCTTGCACAAGAGCCTTTTCCTGATGCACAGCACTTGAGGTCCTGAGCATGATTGTCCTCCTGCCTTCCTGGTGGGGCACAGGAGCCTGCAGAGGGCACAGCCCCAGCCAGGAGAGAGCTGCTGGAGCTGCTGGAGCTGCCAGGCCTGTCCTGAGCTGCCTCAGCCTCTCCTGGCACAGCCTTTGCTGCTGGGGACACATCACAGGGGCAGAAATAGCTGAGCCTTTGCCTGTGCTCCCTCGTTTAAACGAGACAATTGCTCTTTCACTCCACACAGGGAGCAGCAAAGGCTCCTTCTTCTGAGCTCTGGCTGCTCCATGAACTCAGGATTGCTCTTAGGTTGCTGTTCTTAAGATCAAATTCTAAGGAAAAATAAGTGAGATAACTAAAATACTGACAGATGCTTTGGGAACAGGGTAGCAGCCCACCTTTCACTGTCTAGGCTGCTTCATCTTGGGCAAGGGCTGTGCAATTTTTATGGGCTTAGAGCCACAGAGGGCATTGATTGTTCATCCTCATCTTTCCCTTCTTCCTGCTGAGCCCCTTGTGCCATCTTTGAAAGAGACACAGACATTCAAGGGAGACAAAGGGCAGTGAGTAAATGAATGTCCTTGCTTTCCTGTTGCCTTTTTTTTTTTTTTGCATCCAAGACCATCCTACATGTAATTAATGACTGTGCAGAGCAAAGTACTCCTGGGAGCATTCAGTACATGAACAGCTCCACAGGTAATTTCTGGAGAGAAGATTTGTTTGTTGGCCAGCTTCACTCTCTGACACCTGTACTTGGTGATGAGTTGTGCTCTTTTTTGAAATAACTGTCCCTTCTCAGAGGAGCTTCATCCAGAGCCTGGTGGTGGCAGGCACTCCACCCCTTCATTCCTGTTTAAGTTTGTTTAAGTTTACCTTTAGCCAACAGATCTTTTTTTTTCCAAGGTTTGGTATTTCCAGTTCAAAGGTCCATCTTGAAAATACAAATAAAATAAAAATACACCTCATCACAAGGATGTCCATGTGTGTGGTACTTTTTTCCTCCTAGATGGACCAAAAAACACATACCTGGTCTTTAAAGTCATGAAGAGCTTTACTGGCTAGAAAACACAGAATTGGGAAGATGCTCTTTAGGAACATATTTATTTCCAAGGGTGAAAAAAGCAATGGAATCCATGAGGCTCTCCATAGCAAAGCACATCTCCTGTATAAATGGTAAAATTCACACTCTGGAACAATTCCCTGTAATACACAGGATTTATTACTCCCAGTAAGAGAAGCACATCAGTGAGCAAAGTTCTTTACCAAAGAGAGAAAAAATGATAATATTTATGAAACAATTCCAATAACAAATGAAAACACTGAACTTTGGATTGTGATTAAATCTCTTGTAACTCTTTGTTTTACAGATATGGCCTCTGAATGACTTTGGATTTCTACGTGCAAGCCCCAACGGCCACAGATTTCTTGATGATTAAAAGACTTATGTACTATTGACTGTTTTCATAGTATTTTCTACTAAAATGAATGGAACTATTTTTGCTTAGAATAAACACAAATACTACTTGACAAAGATATCCCTTTCTGAGATTACACCTAACTTCAGAGTGAGAATGATACACTTGGTGTCATCATCCAAAATGATGTGCCTGCCATCAGCAGGCGGTGCCAGGGCTGGCACTGAACACAGCACCAGTGGGGTTCCAGACCTGCAGGTGGGGTTTCCTCTGGCTGCCCAGTGGGGTCAGAGCTCAGCTTCCTCCTAAGCTGTCCTCTCAGGAATGATGACTCCATTTGTTCTGCCACGGAGAGCCTCAGCCCAGCACGTGCTCCTGCTCCAGGTGATGCCACTGTCACGGGGCAGGCACAGCCACTGCTTCCAGCTGCCAGCCTCTGCCTCCTCCTCCTAGGCCCCAGCCCTTGAGAGGATTTCATGAACTTAAATATTTAGCTTACAAATGGAAAACGTTCCTGTTTCCCACTGCTGAACTTTGCTCTTCATTATCTTCAAAGCATTCTCACGTCTGTGCCTCCTGATTGAATTTTGTCATCTGAGCTGTTGCAAGGATTTAACCTAAGAAGAAGGGCCCAAGAGCTGCTTCAGACTGAAATTGGAAGGAGCTGCTCTGTTGTTTGCTGGGAAAGAGACCTTTAGATCAGGAGATGCATTCCAGTTGTACAAACTGCTGTTCTGGGTTGGAGGTGTTGAGCAGTGAGCTCTTGAGCTGCAGTAAGAGAATCCCAGCTGTGAGAGCAAAGGGGAACTTGTCATTTTTAACCCTGAATGAACTCATTCTTGTAGTGCCCCCCTTTTCTTTAACATACATTTCTGTTAAAGATTCTGTCACGTGTTTGTCCAGTCTTTTGAACAGTTTGTAACACACAATGTGCTTCACTGAAACAATCATTGCAGGATCTCGATAACAAGTGAACATGTGTCACAACAAACCAAAGATACATCTTTGGTTTCACTCTTGGAGACACTGTAATTCCCACCACATCGACAGGACAGAGTGTAGAGTTGTTCATCTGCCAAAAAAGAAAACAAAAACACCTTTAGTGCTGGAGAAGAATCAAGAATTTATTTGGAATTTTCTTCACAAAGCTGCTCTTAGTAACAACCTCCCACTGCTGGGTTGTAAGTATCAGTATCTGTGCTACCTTTGTAGCTCAAAAAATAATCTCAAAGTGTTTCAGTGATTGAGGAATTCTTACACTGAACAACCAGAGCCAATGGAGTCTCTTAAAAAAAAAAAACAAAAAAAAAACCAAAAAACAAACAACCGAAACAAAAAACTCCAGTAATTACAAGGTGCACAATCTGATGATACTAAAAGAAAAATCATACAGATCAAGGATGCTTCCAAAACAGGCTGCTAACCCAGGAACTAAAACAAAAAAAAGGAAAGTAGGATTTTTCCCCTCACAACTTAAAAAAAAAAGTTAAAAAATAAAAATAAATATCAGCCATTTATTCCAAAAGCAATTAAACAAGAAAAGCCAGAGCAATAGACAGGAGGGAAGGAACAGTGGCAGATGAAAAAAGAAACAGAGGCATTCTACCATCACAGGAAGGGCAAGAAGATGCCCAAGAGATATGGGAAAAATCTATGTACTCTCAATGATACCAGAGGAGAGCTGGGTGAAAAGTGGTACTGCAAGTGAGGGTGGGGAGAAATGCAGATGAAATGGGAAACAAATGTAACAGAAAAGTTCTAATCCAGGTAATCTCAGAGAGCAAAACAGCAAAAACAGCACTTAAAAGTAAGGCAACAATGGTGCAAGATGCAGAAAAAAAAGGGAAAACATTAAGAGGGACAAAGAAAAGCATTGGGAACCAGCAGCAAGGCTCGCATACCTTCATTCCAGGACATGTCCTCAAGATAAATCTGTTCATGAAGTGGCCATTCTTTTGTCAGGTTATCTCCTGTAAAGCAAACATGACAGATGCTCAGTCTTTTCTGAGAAATTAATGGGTTTATTATATACCTAGCAGTCAGTCTGGTCCCTACCAGAGTCCTGCCTAGACCACTGTGTCAGTTCAAACTGGAGTTCTCTAAAATTTTAGGTTTCCATAGATCTGCATAAGCTGGAACATGTTCTCTTGTAGCCAGGAGGAATAAATGGTGACAACAAATTACTGAATTAAGACCCTGAAACCAGCACTTGTGTGAAATTAGGGGCAAACTTCTGTTTTGATGTAGGTGCCTTTCAAAAGCTGGCTGTAACTCCAACTCCATGAGCTGAAATGGTGAAGGTGAACCTGTGCTTTTCACAGATTTGTGGGACCTCTCCAGATCACCCATCCAAGCCTCCTGCACCCCCAGGGCAGCTGGAACAAGCTGACCAGGATGGGCAGATTTTAAATATCTCTACAAATGGAGACGTCTCAGTGTCTCTCAGGCAACCCCATTCCTGGAGAAGGAAGAAGGAGAAGCCAAATAAAAACCTTCCAATAAGCACCAAGGGCTTGCTGTGTGTGAGAACACCAATGAAATAACTCCTGTAAAAAACACTTGTAGGGGAAGAGCAGTCCAAGTGCTCTTTTATGAGAAAGAGTCTCTGAGCACAGAAAGTCAAGTTCTGCCTGTACCTGAGAGATCTGTTGCCATTTGATCCCCCAGTGATCCAGCATGAAATGAAAAGTGTACAACATCTGCAGGTAACAAAAAACTGAGTTATCAAACTTCCAGAGCTTCCTATTTGGGATTGATGAAGCAGGATTTCTCTCAAAACTTTTATAGGAATGGTGGTGGAGGTCTGGGTCATGCCTCACTGCTAGAAAGTACAAAAAGGGCAGGTGGGCCACCTGAAGATGCAATGCAAATTAATGAGCTTAGCATACTTCAAGTGAAGTAACTGAATCATAGAACCACAGCATCATTTATGCTGGAAAACACCTTTGAGTCCAACCATTAAAGTAATGAAGAAGCAGCTGAGGAAAAGTCTGCTCTCTCTTCTATTCCAAACATGGTATAATACAAAGCCCAGGGAGCAGAATTTCAACAAAGCTTTTTTAATTCATTTCTGCAATTGTAATTTTGAAAATAAAAAAAAAAAAATCAACGGGCAGAAATAATCCTCACAGTTCCTAGGCTGAACAGAAATTGTTATTCATTGTTATTCTCCATCTGATGCTCAGATCTGAAGGATCAGGCACAGCATCTCCAGCAGAGCAAGGCAGGGATTGTCC